CCTTGGTTTACTTGAGGCTTTTGGTTGATATTCATCATGATTGGAACAGATGGTCCATAGACATCAGCATCAAGCAATCCAATCTTCAATTCGAATTTGTTGGCTAATGCAACAGCTAAGTTAACTACAAACAAACCAAAATTCCACAGATTTCTCACATTATCTCAATAACTTCAATCTCACACTTAAAGGAGTTTAGGAAAGATCTGATTGTACCAGCAGTCGAAGACTTTCCGACTCCCCCTTTACCAGACGCAACGGCGATGATATCTCTGACTCCATTTAACCGGAGCTCCGTCGTTCTCCCGCCGGAGCTAACAGAGCTCTGTAAAAACGAAAAAAATGCAGAGATTAAAACCTCAAATCTCAAAGCTAAGAAGGTACACAAGAAAGGAACGAGATTTAAAGGAGCAATTTTTTTCATACGAATTTGTAGGCAGAGAGGAGTTCACGGCGACCGAGAGACCGAAGAAGCGCGACGGTGGTCATGAGAGAGAGAGGACACGAGGGAAATTCCGGGAAAAAGCGATGCTAAGTCCCTAAAACCCTGAACAAGAGCAAATTGGTGCTAGAGGAAAAAGAAGATATTGAATCCCCAAATCAAAGCAACGGAAGAGTAAATCTCAGATTCGCAGGTCCGACGACGAAAGACGACGGCAAGAACGGTGAAAAACAGAGGTGGGTTTTTTCGTAAATTACAATAATCGATATGGGCAAAACTGTAACTTTCATCCCAACGATGATGCCTCGTTCAATGCATTTAAACAAAGTAAAGTTTTCTCCATTTTCCCTCAAATTTTCCCTCTATATTTCTCCATTTTCCCTCAAAATTTGTTACTTTTTTTTTTGCGAGCCTATTTGTTCACCGGACAATTTATTTTCTTAATTGTAAACGAATGTTTGTTTTTTTTGGTCAAAGAAAACTTGATTGCATATAGCCGGTTTAAGCCGGTAAAGTTGGTATATGGTTTAGACATGATTTTGATAAACCATCTGTCTCAGAGTTTTGTGACATTTTCACAAATTGAAAAGACACGATATTCAGAACATAAGCTAGATGTGAGATGTCCTTTAGAATACTAAAGATTTCGAGATTTTGATTCTTTGAGATGCTAAACAAATGTTTGTTATGTTAATCATTTTTATTCTACAACTCTTGAAAGCTGGGGGATCTTAAATCTATGAGCTGAGAAATGATGTTGTCATTTTTTTTTTGTTATTTATCTCTTGGGTTTTATGCTCTTTGTTGATATATCGTTTAGAAGAGATCTTGATTTATTGAGGAAACCAATGTTTTTGATTCTACAATTTGTTCTCGTTTTATTTGTTATATTGATCTTCCGTGAAACAGTTTCCATTAATTTTTTCTCCTTTTTTTTGTTATCTATCTCTTGGGTTTGATGCTTTTTGTTGATTATATCATTGAGAAAATCAACGTTTTTTATTCTACAACTCTTGAAGTTTAATTTTTGTTTTTCCAGGTGAAAAGTGGATGACATGAGAGCTGCAACCATAGATTCTATGCTTTTATCAAGAAGAGCTTGGATTATGTCGTGGACTATACTTGGATTGTTTTCGAACTCGAGGAGCTACAAGCAATATTTGCTCGAGTAGTGGAATACCGGCAATTGATCCAGGGCTTTCAGAACGTCGGGATGATGTTCCCCAATGAAGGCATGGATGACGGTCCTACTCTTATGACATGCACAGTTAGTACAGAGTCTAGTGGTCCGGTGGCAAGCACATGGAACGGCAAACAGGCGAATGGCTAGGCTAATCTGGCGAGTGTAAACGGTGATTTCGGGAGTCCGATGGATATCAAGTTATAATAATTATGTTTTGTGTAATCAATAACTTATTTAAGTTTTGTTGGATTATAATAATAATTATGTTTTTGTGTAATAAATAACTTATTTAAGTTTTGGTGGATTAATCAGCTTTTTTTTCTTGGACCACATTATCCTCTCGTTAGGG